GAGGTGGCAGCATCCGCTGCAGAACCTCCAGAGGTGTCAGTGGTATCCGTCTGTGAACTCTTTGCCTGTCCTGTCACGGCTATGGAGGCCGTCTGCGAACTCTCTGTCCGTCCTGTCACTGCTATGGAGGCCGTCTGTGAACTCTCTGCCTGTCCTGTCAAGGCTACGGAGGCCACTTATGAACTTTTATCCTGCTCTGAACCGGCCGAGGAGGCCATCTCTGAACTCACGCCGTGTTCTGAAACAGCCTTGGTGGCTGATTGTGAGCAGTCTGTCTGTCTCGTCTCAACTAAGGTGTCTGATTTCTAACTGTCTGTCTTGCCCATTTCTGTCAAGGAATTTAAACCTGAGCTGTCTGTCTGTAGAGTCTTAACAATATTAATATTCCATTATATTGCAGGCTCTTAATTATTGAATTCATATTTTTCTGCAATTAAACTTTATTAGAACTATTAAATTCTCCTTTGTAGTTGCCCTATAAGGAAAAGCTAATTCTTGAATTCAGAGTTAACTATAGTATTAGTAAACCTTTATAAAAGTGACTTATTGCCTTTATTTGACCCAATATTTAATAGGCTATAATTAGCTTATAATAATTTTCGTGACATTAATAATAAATACCATTAATTAATGCCATATTTCTACAGTGTCAGTAAATGCATGTTAAATAGCCTAGGTGTGGTGCTGTGGATTAAATTGCTTATTTAAAGTTTTGTACAGTTTACCTTTACACTTCAGTTCACATGGTCAGTGTTATTCAATCTGGTTTCCGCTAGCTACACCACAGAGACTTTACTGTTCAAACATAAGTGTCGTGTGTCGAATTCAAATGGGCAAGTGCTGCTTATCACTTCAATAGAGCGGCGAAAGTGTCGAGGTACAGTCGTTGTCAGCGCTGTGCCGGTGCCATGCCGAAAATTGATCGTCCGCCGAAAACTGATTGGCGCCTGTGATCACATTTTGGTGTGTAAAGTGTAAAACTGCATTTTATGGGTTTTATTGACCATTTAAAGGTATTTCAACAGGTAAAGAGGACTGCATGAGCTATAATCTGCCAAATATAACCCTCGAATGCAATCAAGTTATTTAGCTCATGCAGTCCTTTTTACCTAAATAAATACCCATAAAATACTGTTTTACACTTGCCAAAAAGTGATTACAGACTCTACTTATTGAGTGAACTGTCCTTTCTGCCTCAAAATGACTTGATTTCATTCATGGTTGTTATAT